GAGTTTCCCCAAAGGCCCCTTTTTTTTTTTATCTAGTAGTTGAATTTTACCAAGAAATTTCCAATAGATTTGAGTATTTCACACTGTGAAAATAACAGCAAAGCCAAAACATCTGCAGTGCCCATGGAAATAGCAATCACGTTGTTCATTGGGTAATATTTCCAGGAAATAACTTTATAAAAGGCAGGCATGAAATTTGCCATGCATTTTAAATATTTCAGCTGGGATTTCTCAAAGTGCTATTGAACTTTAGTGGGATGTCTGCTCTCAAAATTCTTGGACACAATTCTTTCCCCAAAGGAAAGCCGTTCCTGTGGTGGTTAGTGCAGGGTCACTGCTCAGCACCCACAAGTTTATTTCCAGACCTGTGCAAGAAACAGCAGATATTTTCTTAACAACTCTCCAAAGTTTGGTTGGTTTTTTGTGGCTGTAAATGGTAGTGGTTTGGTTTTTTGAGGCTATAAATAGCTAGAAATATGAATCCAGATTCAGTTGGGTGATCTGATGCTGAGAACAGATTCAACTGCAAGTCCCTGAAAGTGAAGTCCTACAGACAGGGGTTCTTCAAAGATGTCTTTTTAGCATTTTCCTCCATGCACAACTTCCAGTTACATCCAGGGAAGGTAGAATATGCTCCACTTCTTTTATAGAGTGCATAGTATTGTAAATGAGAATTTATATTGCTATCCATTTCATAAAGAACATTTGCTGTTGACTTAAATAAATTATACTTTTGCATTTAGGACATAACAATCAGCATTCAGTATGCTTTCAGTCTTATTCTTAGGTCTTTTAAATCTAATGCATCCCTTGGTGGAAAATAAGTAAATCAGTAATATTTGAAAATAGAAGTCAAGTCCCATTATGATAAAACAAGTGTATGGAACTCCTTCAGACTGAAGGTCTCCTGAGAACACTGTAGATACAAGCATCAACACATTCCTGTTGAGGGTGTTTAAATGTAATTTCTGTGGTAACCCACTTGATCTCTCCTTTCTATTCCTGCCAGCAGTGTGAAAATCAGATTCTATACTGATGTGCTGATGGACACATTCCCCAGAGAGGTGCAAGGCACACAGTCAGAGTTTGTATAATCATATAATCTTAGTTCATATGATGAGTATCCCAAATCCACTGCAAATATCATATCTCTCAATCACAAGGCACTTCTGAAGCACATGTAATTCTCCTTAGGCAGGGTGGCTGTAATTTTAAAATGTACAGAATAAGAGAGAGAGTGCTGCCCTTTAAAAGATGGCTGGAAACTCAGCTGTGGACAACACTATGGTCTTACATGACAGGAAATAAGCTCCATATCAATAAATCTACATTATTTAGCAAACAACAAAAAAGATATTTTGATGCCTGCTGTGAAGAAAGAGGATGTTTAAGTTAGGGGGATGTTTAAGTGAATGAGTCTGATGCAATCAAAACAGACTATGGAGGAAGGAAGTACAGTAAAATCCCTATCTTTATTTCAAAGACATGATCAACCCCAGTGACTTTAAAATAGAAGGATTAAGATCAAGTATTAATTTGTACAGAAGAATTAAAGGATATTCTGTTTTTCAGCTCTGCAGAGCAACCAGCTGTTGTTTGACTTTTATAAATGTGCTGTGATTTTCAAAGAATCAGATGTCAAAGATTTGTTGCCAATTACCTTGCATTAGAAATTGAGTTGGATTTCAGGTGGCAGAGGAGTTTCTGTCTCTGAACTAGTCTTTGACTGATTGGGAAACAGATCAAATTGATTCATGTTAGTCAAAATTAGTATTTTTTTCTAGCAAAAATGGTTAGACAAAAGCATATGTATTTGAAGAGATCAGACGATTGAGTTCCTTCATCCTCTATGTCTGCTAATGTGAGTGCAAGCTGAACTGTAAGTCATTAAAGGCCACTTCCTCATTATTGCTATCAAAACTAACAGTGTGTTCCTTCCCTTTCTCACCTTTGTCCTTGCACCTCGTGCACAGCAGAGGATGCCAGTCCTGGAGTGGCACTGCTGAGGTGATTCCTCTGACCTGCACCATCCCCTCTAACAGGGGTACACAGCACCTGCCCAGACCCACCTTCCCAAAAATCTGACACCACCTTGGAAACCAGCCTGCTCAGGAAAAAAAAGGGACACTCCTGCTCAGCCTTGTGCTGGTGTTCCAAATTAGTCTGTTGATTATAGGAAAAAAATAGTTAATTAAAAGTGGATGGATTATGGGGTCCCCTCCAAATGAGGACATGAATAGAATAGGAATCATCCATCAGTATTCTAGGGTTGTCTCTGTATCCATTCTTGGGCCACTAGATCATCTAAAGTACTTGGCATGGAAAGAAAGGAGCAAACAGTATTCAGAACTTGTTTTTTAAAAGAGTATTTTTATTCTTTTTTATAAGTTCCATCTCAAGTTCGACTTTCTAATGTTGTCATTAAGCAAGAAGTTGTTCCTCATCTAAATCTGATTGTTCTCCTCCTGTTCTTCAAAGAGCTTGAGTTCATGTTTATTTTTCCTGTGCTGTTGTTTTGAGTTGTTTCTGAGGTTTCATTCTGGTGATCACAGTGTGTTTGTTTAATTTGGATGTACAATATAAAATATATCTCTCTGGAGGAACAATATGTTTTCCTTTTGGCATAGGCTTTTCTTCATTTTAGAATTCATCATTCGTGTGTGGTTAATGCGTACTAGAGATGCCAGGTTTGTTCAAGAAACTTAGAAAACCTTGGAACAAGATGGTTCCAGCTATAAAGGGCACATAGGTATAACAGAGAGTAACTGTCTAGAAATGAAGAAAAGTTTAAGTGAAATCAGAACTTAGTGTTAAGAGCTGACCTTTGAACAACACTAAACTTCATTGATCAAGGACATTAGAGGACACTGGACATCATTCAAGTTTGAAGTTAATATTAGCAAGAGATTTAATATTGGAAAAAAACCCTGTGTTTGAAGGTGGGGCCTAAAGGAAACAGTTACAAATTCCTTTTTTCTTCATATCAAGGTGATCAAGTCAGGAAAATACAGTCACAAACAATATTTATAAGAACACCTTGAATTCAGTCATGTAGCAGCTTTTAGGTGGGTGTTCAGGAATTCTGCTGAAGGGTCTCTGCTTTCATTCAGTGTATATCTGCAGCAGCAGCCATTGCCACCTGGCCTCTGAGTGATGTTAGTGTGTGCTGGTGGCCTTATCCAGATTTGGCTGACCTCTTGATGTGCTGAATTTACCCTTTCCTGGGGAGTCATCAAGATTGTGTGTCTCCAGAGCTCATCAGCTCTTGAGAAAATCCCACAACCTACCACCTCAGCTCATACTTCTCCTCTGTTCATCTTGCTGTCTGCTGGTAAATGTTTCTCCATCCAAACATGCAGATAAAACTTTATAAAACTCATTGATGCATTCTCCTGTGGCACAGCCCTCATACAAGGGTGGAATGCCTGATTTTGGGCAAAAGGGAGCAGCCAGATAGTGAGATAATTGATTTTAACTCAATAACCTTAGTCTTTGTGTGTTGCCTGGTTGAGCACAGCTGTGACCATGAAGTATCAGAAGAACACAGGTACTGGACTGGGAGGCAACAGAAGGAGGCATGGGACATGGAGGGCAAGCCACAGGGAAGGACAGAGCTGGCAAAGTAGCTGAGGGAGGTGAAAGCTTTCCTGGGAACAGGAGATGTTCCATGTGAGGGGACTGGAGGAAGTCATCACACCACTCAATAAATCATTATTTTGTCTTTTCCCCCTTAAATCCCAGTAAGGGATTCTTTCTTCTTCTCACCCCTAGGTCAAGTAGGTAGGAAAAGGCTTTGAGTTCGGGAAGGGCTATTCTGGTTTCTTCTGCTTGTCCACAAACTCACGACCTTTTCAGTGATCTGAGGCAGTATTTATTTTCCAGCCAAGTATTTCTGCTGCAGGCTGCCCCAGGAGGCACCTCCCTGCCTTGGGTTCAGTATTCTCCCCACCTTGTAAACCACATGCATGCCTTGCTACTGGCAGCTAACAGAAGAGAGAGAGGCATCCAAAGTTTCCCCCAAGCCTCCGTGTCCAGGATCCAAGTGCTCTGGTTGTTCAGATCAACTTTATTTTTCTGTTTGTGTCTTGCATTAATTTAAAACCCACTAACAATCCAAAACAAACTGTCCTTCCTCAAATGCGTGCAGGCAAGAAAAAGAGGAGTGTGAAACATGGCATGACTCCACAAGCCCTTTTCTGCTTGGGTTAATTTTTCCTGACACTACAGCATCACTTCCTGACTGTAGCTGCAAATAAACAATTACTGAAAGCACAAGGCTGGACCACACATGAGTGTTTTCCACTGGCATGGAGAAAAGCTGTGTGTTGATTGCTGATTATTTATTTTCACAAAAGTCAGTTGGGTTTGTTCTTATGTCTTTAGGGCACCATCTCTCGAGGTGCTGATCCTTCTCAGCTTGCAGGAAGAATTGAGGATGGGATCCAGCTGTGCCCCACAGGTCCTGGCCTCAGTTGGCATCATTACTAGAAGTTCTCCAGTGTTGATATTTACTGCATGATCCTGAGCAGTCAATAGGAAAGGACAGCAGGGGTGTACCCAGCAGAAGGAACACTTAGCCAAGCCATGTGCTTTTCCTTTAAAACTCCAGTTGTTAAACCATCAGTGTGACATTTACATAGAGAAAAGAAAGGAAATTGAAATGCACACAGAGAAACTTCAGCTTTCTGGCTTGCTGCAGATAATGCAGTGAGAGCTGATTTTTGTATGAATTTAACTGATTGTACTTAGAAATGTCAGGGTCATATTCTCTATCACTACCTATAAAATGGGCAAAATGGCATTCAGCTGACTGGTCTTTGCCTTCACATCCTGGACAGTCCCCTACTGTACAGGATTCCAGTGTGAGCTGGGGCAGATGAAAGGCTGGTGGCCCCCTGAACCTCCCCAGCAGCAGATCCAGCTTTGTACTGGCTTAAACAGCTGTGACTGCAGGGACAGGCTGAGCACTGAGGCTCTTGAATGACCTGGCTTTTCTTGCAGTGGCTGAGCAGACTATGGCAGCATCCCCATCCCTCTGCCTCTCAGATATAACAGAGGTGTAAACCAGGCCTCCAGGGGTTGTTTTTGTGGGTTGCCTTTTGAAATCTCTGAGGTTTCATGTTCTTTCTTAGGTTCTGGCCTCTGCAGTTATTTTGCAGAAACTCCTTGCAACTCTGAAGTTCTGCTGCCTTCCCTGGGAACTGAACCTTTGGTACCTCTTTCTTAGGGTCTGGCCTCAGTGCAGTTATTTTGCAGAAACTCCTTTCAACTCTGAAGTTCTGCTGCCTTCCCTGGGAACTGAACCTTTGGTACCTTTTACCTTTATGAAACCTCTGTCCTTCAGACTTCTGGGAGAGAAATTTGAGGACTGGGGAAGGACTTGAAAAATCAACCCTTTCTCAGGCTCATCAAGTTCCTGCCTTATGACCTTCTCTTTGTGTGATGCCCATGTGTTATTTATGAGCACTTGGCTGCTCGTTTCCACAAAAAAAAAAAAAAAAAAAAATTGTTGAGGCTGAAGTACAATTAGTTATGTGGCACTGCAAAGGGCAAGAAAGGGGATAGTGAGTGCTGTTGTCCTGGGTTGGGCGGCTACTAAGGTCAGAGATGTAAGGCACAAAAGGTAAGTCTTTTGAAGAAATGCAAAGGAAACAGAGTGATATGTAAATCAGCTTTATTTCAAGTCAAGAAAAGCACCTCACTGTTCACCAGGTGAGTATCTGGTTCTGGGCCTCTCGTAGATCCACATCACATCCAGCCTTTGAGGATCAGCTGCTCAGGATTTTGTTTCAGTAGGAGTAGGATTTGCCTCCAGCCTTGGAACAAATCACTTTCCCTGTGAGGGGGGAAATAAAAGAATAAGATAGCTAAGTAAGTGCTGGGCTGAAGCAGATGTCTTTTAAACAAATATACAACTTATTTTGCATCTGCTGGTTCCCAAGTCCTTGCTTGCTGAGAGACAAAGAGCAGCACTGCTGCACTTCAGGAGAACCAGGATGTGCTCCCCAGGTACAGATCTGAAAAGTGGCCACTTGCATCCACAAACCTGGCATTTTTGCTGATAAGGGCAATACAGTCACTGCTAAAATTGATCCTAATGAATGAGAGAATTCCTTTGCTTTTCTGAATGCTATAACTGATTAATTCCCCAAAGAATTCTTCTGGGCATCCTATCCCTATGTAAAGACTATGGCTAAGTGGCTTAATAGGCTAAGTGCTTTATAAAACAGCTCTATAATATTTTAGTTGTCTCTTTTCATTTCAGTAACAAGCATAAGGGAAGCTAATGTCCCAGTATACAGGGATTTGCAATCACCATTAATGGGGATAATTCCCCTCATGGGAAACAATAAAAAATACCGTTGCCAGAGCTAGAACACTTTTCTAGATTTGCATTTCCATCACAACAGATTGTATCTCTCCTGCTAAATTTCTTTGTGCTCTAGAGGAGAAAATCTGGCAAAGAGAAACAGCTTTAATTGTAAAGATAAACTCATGATGGGGCACAGTAAGGGTGTCTGAGTTTCCCAAGACAGCATCTGTATGATTGAGGAAAATGAAATAAAATCATGGTAGCTATTAGTAGTACAGTGAGTTTTAAATGAGCCCTGAATGATGGCAAAATTAAGAAGAGTTTTTGCCTTTTTCACATTATCATCACTAATAGAAGGGGTCTCACTTGCTGTTTGTTCTGTTTTGATGGTAAATCCTGTCCTAACAAATATGCTGACAAGCTGTAAGAGAGCAACTGACTTGAATTGCATGGGAGGTCTGTCTCATATTCCACACCCATCTTAGATCTTGTTTTCATGTCTTTAAAATATGCAGCAATGGAGATTAATACATTGGTTTGCTTTTTAATGAGTGAACCTTGGATTTGAAGGTTTGCTGCAAATTCTTTTATTTAAATGCTTTCATATTTATGGCGCCATGCTTAGAATGTTATGAATAGCATTATCTGGCTATTAACTCTTGTGACAAGATGGATTTTAGGATTAAATAAATTGTGAGCATTCCTTTTAAATTGCTGGAGCTAAAGGGGCTAGGAGTGTAGGAGTGGTAGATTACCCAGCTGCAGTCATTCCTCCTGCACAGCCTTGTGATATGTTACAGGGGTTCTGGTGGCTGAGTAGGAGGAAAGAAGTCACTGGAAGCAGCTCAGATTGCACAGCCTTGACTCACCCCACAGGGTAGGTGACCAAGCTCTTTCATGAGCAGCAGGCAGAGAGAGGGAATGGCAGCCTTGATTTAGCACAATGTAAGCTCCATGCTGGGCATATAGTTACTGTCCTTTGAAATCAGTCAGATTTGAACCTTTTGTGCTTAGTTGTGATTGCTATGCTGCATTTTTTTCCTCTGCCTACCATTATGAGCTGGTGCAATGTGCTAAAGCAAGTGATTATTCCAGGAGCTGTTTGAGGGTCAGCATGTTTCCATTGTGTGACTGGTCCCAGTGATTTTTTTTTGGTGCAGAAAAATAGACAGTTTCTCTTTTCTTCAACTGCAATATAACAAATATAGAATTCTCTCCTGCTAGAAGTTATGTTAGAATGCACATATGAGCTGTCTGCATTCAGCTGCCTATCCCACCTGTGCATTCCCACCTCCGCTTTTGGAAACAAATTCCAGGCCAAACCCTGTCTCTTTTAAGCACATGAAGACTGACTTTAGTGGGGCCTGAATCTGTGTCCTCTCTCAAGCAGGTTATTGCTTTGAAACAAGATAATGTTATGAGTCTCCTATTGGCTTTGAGCCAACTCTAGTCTTTTAGTCAAGCAAGGAAGAGTCATGTTTGTAGACATAAAGATTAAACATTTCCATCCTGCTGTCACAGCTGTTTCCATTGAGAAGTGCTGGCTGCATGAAGAGCTGCTACCATTTACAGTCAGCTGTTCCTTGGAACAAGCCATCCTCTGTACTCACCTTTCCAGCTTCCGCTAAAGTGCGTTCTTGGGTGATTCATTCTTTGCAAACAAACTCTTGACTAGGTGATCATTTCCTTACCTGTTTCTCATGTTCATGTGTTATTCCCCTGCCTGCTGCATAGTGTGCAGTGGTTTATTCCATCTTCAGTTTTTTAAAGAAAAAATTAAGTTTCCGATCTTTAATTTTTCCATACATCTAGGTCCAACCTCGTTGTTGCCAGGAACTTTGTTCACTGATGCTGGTTAGTTGAGGAATTGTTTCTGTCCCACCATCTAGTTTTAATTTCAGCCAGTGTTCTGGCTGGATAACTGGCCCAGTTATTCAGGTTAGTATGACTCAGTTGTATCAGGCAAAGATAAAGGTTTCGTGTTACTACATTGATTTCAAATACAGCAGAAATTAATGTCACTGTCACTGTTGGGTGAGGTTTTCATATTAATGGAATGTGAAAGGAACAGGAAAAGGGAAGACAGTAAAGAATGAGTTGCTCAGTTCCAAAGAAATTAAATCAGGAGGTATGACCTTTAGTAGGAAAGAACTAGCAGGAGAAGGAATCACATGAACCTGTCTCTTATGTCAATGGATAAATTTGGCATGTTTCAGCACAAGGGGTAATGGGAACAAATGATACTATGATTGTCTTGTCTGTTCTGTAGGCTTGAACAGTAATGTCATTGGTCTGATCTTACCTGTGAAATGGAGAGCACAGGGTGCTTGTGAAAGCCTTTTGGTCTGATTGCTCAGGTTGTTATTTTGCAAAAATCAGAAGCACTGTCAGGCAGTGTGCCTGGATAGCAGGAGGTGGGAATGAGGCAGAAGAATGGGAACAGCAATAAAGCCTAGGAGCTGGGATGGGGAAACCACAGGAAGTGAGGCACATGAAACAGCCCCAGGGACTGGCTGGGTGTTCCAGACTTTGGACCTGATGAGATCAGCTCCATATCCCATTGGGGCTGGTTGTGTCCAGGTGGCCTTTTGGGTTTTCCTTTTCTGAGAGGAGACTGGTGAGGGCAGCTCATGGCAAGGGACCTGGTGGGACCCAGTTGTTGGCTGCAGCTGAGGAGGAATCTGACACTCTCCAAAGATACCAAGGAACCTGTTGGCTGAGATTCCTTCTCTGGGAATGGGACAGTATTGGTTAAAGATGTTCTTGGTGCTGGTGTGCTAATGCCTTTCACAGATTAATAGGAGAAATGGTTGGAAATATTGCCTTTTGGAGCAAGCTCCTTGCAAGCAAATTACAGACTGTGAGTAATAAATGCATTTGACAGCAGAGTTTTTGATTTTACAACATATTCATAACACCTCGGAGCACTTAGTACCTTGTTAACCTAATTAGTATACTCTGAAACTGCCAAGGCAATCTGAACAGCTGTTAATCACATGCCAAACTATCCAAGATCACACTTTGCTGTTACTGCAGAGGCAGCCAGGAGTGGATTGGCAAAGAAGCGGCTTTAAACGTCAGAATGCACAGACAACTGGTTACAGTAAAACCAAATAATGCTGAATCAGAAATGAATACAACAAAACAAGCCATCATACCATAGACTGGCCTGCCTCATTGGCACTTTAGGAACTATAGTGGTGTGTGAGTGGAAGTTGCTTATCCTGGAGCTATGAAAAGAGCTCTACATGGCTTGTGCTGAGCAATGCTGATGGTACCCCTGCAGCCTGGAGGCTCTGCAGGTGTTTTCTAGCATAGCCCAGAAAAAGGAGCACAACTGCAGCCTGCAAGCAATCAGACATGCACCTATACCTGACTTAACATCCTGGAATTGAGCAACTGCAGGTTATACCCACCCTGAGTAATTTCCAGTCTTTGGGGTTCAGGGCTAACATTAAAGTGCAGTTCAGCTCTCAGGAACAGGTGATCCTTGATCTCTGTTGCAAGACAGCTTTTAAAGATGTAAATGTAAAGTTGGACAGTTAGGTCCTGTCCAAGAGGAAAGACAGGGGATCATGTTAATTAACATGTCCATTAGGGAGCTGCTTTCCAAATCTGTTCAAGTTTCCATAGCAGGGTCTCTTATGCTACGGGAATGTCTAAGCTACAGCAGCAAAGCTGGTATGGTTTCTACTGACATAGCAATGGCTGTCTGTGTTCCTGCATTAGATATAAATAATACAAAAGATCCTGAGAAACTTTTAGAAATTGTATTTAACATAAAATAAAAACAGTAAGAGGATTCGTGTCAGATATTCCACCTCACCTGTCAGCTGATAAAATTGCAGTTTTCAAAATCTGCTGTCCCATTTGTAGCCAATACCACTGAATTGCAAACCTAATATATTTTCTCTAGGAATAACAGTGAAATGACAAATAAAGAGCATGAGTTAATGATGTATTAAACCCTGTTCATGTGAGTAATGCAAGTTAGCACCTGTTTATAGAAAATAAAATTAAGCTAGCTTGATATATTTTATGAGTTTATAATTCAGCTAATAGAGGAAATAGTGGTGGACTTTTGTAGGCATTTGATTTGGGCCATGTGATATTTTTATTAACTGAGGAGAACAATAGAAAATAAACATGTGATATATTAAACTATGGAAACCTGGCTAGTTGACAGATACAGA